ACCAAATGATTTTCATCAACTTATCTGAACTTGGCATACAACTTTAATTTGGAAAAATTTGAGTAATACTGCTTTTATTAACACTGAAGTAATTAAGATTTCACATCAGCATTCTCATGTCTTTCAATTTAGCCTTCTTCTTTTACCTAAAAATATTTTTTATTTTCTTTTAAATGTTTGCTTCATTCTATTCTTTCAACTCTTTTACTTTATTCTTTTCTATAGATTTCAAATTACTACCCTTTCACAAAAACATGGGAAGCCCACACTGTGTGAGCATCTTAATAATTAGACATTCATTTATTTTCCTTTTTCCTTATACTTTAAAATATTGTATGGTTTTATTCCAATAACCTCCAATATTAAGTATTATTGACTTATAAACTATATTTAAATATATGTACTTAATTATATTTACATAGATAATATACATATATGTGTATATAGTATGTTATATATTTTATATAGCTACAAATATATCCATATATTTGACAAAATTATGAATTTGTAGCCCTCACTTCTATGTCATTCTCCCCCTTTATTCATAATCTTTTTCTATTATTTTTACAATTATTTGTATTTTTATATATGTATTCATCTGTTTATATGACTATCCTACTTTATTTTATCTGTTCATCTATTTATTTTGACAGTACTGCTGTTTGATCTCAGTGCTTCACACCAGATGAGCTATGCCCATAGCTCTTCTTACCTTAGATTTTTTTGGATAGAGTCTTACTAGTCTACACAATAATTCTTTTATCTATATCTACTGTGTAGCTGGGATTACAGGTGTGCACCCTCATACCTAACCACCTCTTCTATCGAGTGATGAAATATTGTCAACGATGTAAAGTGTTAATTATGTTGCTATTACAATGATTGCTAATAATTTTGCTATCAATACTATTAATAAAGTTCATTATTTGCAGGTGTTGACTGTTTAAATGAGTGAACCATCATACAATACATTTTAAAGTGAATTATGTAACAATAATATCTTATTTGGAGTTTTAAGACAATGAACCTAATGTTTCTTTCTACCTTTCTTTTTCTTTCTTTCTTCTTTCTTCTTTCTCTTTTTCCTTATCTCTCTTTTTCTCTCTCCTTTCCTTCTCTACTTCCTTCTCTCCTTTCTTTCTTTTCTTTTCTTTCTCCCATTCTTTCTTTCTTCTTTCTTTCCTTCTTTCATTTTCTTTCCCATAAAAAAAGCTGAATTGATGGTCAAGTCAAATAATTCTCTGTTCTAGACGAACAGCCCTATAAAAATGAAAATGTCTCTACAGATGTGGAAAAGCAATAGTTTGGGTAGGAATCAGAAACTAGTCTTTCAATAGATCACATAAAAAATTCAAATGTAAGTTAAGAGATGACACAAGAGAGATTCATTATGGAGTACTTTAATTTTGCAGTAAGCTACAATTTAGTGTAGTTCAGTAACTTAATTGTTAACACTTTTAGATAAAAATGAAAGATGTAATGATAAAGCAGAAATTTTTGATACATTTCTCACATATTTTTCTTTAATATTAGCTTAGCCTTAATTTCATTTTACTTTTGAGAGTTTATTATATTTAAAACTGTATTCTACTTATTAAAGCAAAATATATGTTACATTCTGGGAAAGTTCCTTTTAAGTAATCACTATATTTGGAGAGTATTACTAGTAATTCAACATTAAAAATTTCTTGTAAAATGCCCAAAATGAAATAAATAAATGATTCCTACTTCTATTTTATATTGAATGATGACTGAATAATGAGTAAATTACAGTTATTTGTGCATTTGTCCATAAACCAACCATTTAATGTGAAAATAAATTATGTAGTGGAGGCACTTTTCTTTTAGTCGGTCATGGGGCCTGAACTCTGGGCCTGAGCACTGTCCCTCAGCTCTTCAGCTCAAGGCTAACACTCTTATCACTTGAGCTACAGCACCATTTCCAGTTTTCTGGTGGTTTATTGGAGGTAAGTATTTCACGGAATTTCCTGCCTGGGCTGACTTTGAACCCCAATCCTCAGATCTCAGGCTTCTGAGTAGCTTGGATTACAGGTGTGAGCCACCGGCATCAGTCTGAATTTCTTTTATATAAATCATCATTTTTAAAACAAGTAGACTTCTTCTATAATACTATATGGAAAATATAACTTTATTCCCAAGGCCAAGATCAAGATGTATAGCACTATGTTTTGTATGTAATGTAAAAAGCATCACTAGCTACTATTTTTCACTGTCCTCTCCTCTAAAAATAAAATAACAAAAACTTAATATGAAAACATACATGATAAAAGTATATTAACAATAAAAATGTTTTATTGGGATCCAGCAACACTTGGCAGAGCACATAAAAGATTTTGATTGACAGGCTTACAGCTCGACTAAAGAATAAGGGACAAAAACGGTCAAGTTAGAAGTAGTAACAGAATAAAACAGAAGGCATTTAAGTGTATTCTTCAGGAAACACAAATGCATAAAAGATAATATACAGCAGAACTATTTTCTTAATGCCAAATTTTATTTATCCATAATCACAAAACACTAGGGAAATTGTCAAATCTTTGCAGATATAACTACTGGTTAATTATGAATGAGATAATTATTTTTCCTTTTGCTGGCAATATTCTTCTTCATGCCAGCATGATACCTGCACAATAGAGCAGTTTGTAGGTGTACCGAGGCAGATACTTATAAAAATTATTTTATTAAAAAACTATTTGAATAACTATATATTATCATCTGAAGTAAAATGCCATCACAGTGATGACAATTTCATAGGAGTGTAATGGAATTATGTTATCAATTACTTCAAACTGCCAAATATGAAGATATTTTCAACATTCATATTGAAACTATAGGCCAGTGTTCTATTTTATGAATTATTTTCATTCTGTGATACCCTATTTTATTGAGTAAAATACAATAAATAAATACAAGTTGAATGCAATATTATCAATAGGTAGATTTCACCACCTTTCTGAAAATATCAAGCACTAGAATAACATATTTCATCTACATTTAAATTTATTTCCAGTTTCTGAAGATAATGAATTTTCTAGCCTAAATTAGAAGTCTTCTAAATAACTAATCGAAAAACTTCATTTATTAATATCCATTTTGATGTCAATGGAAGTATAAACTTTCTTCATTATAATATAAAATATGTTTTCAAATCTTCATATTCTCTCAATCATTTCTGCTATATAATAGGCGAAAATTGGGGTGAACCCATTCATCAGTAAAACCCACGGAACACTAAGTTAGAAAGGACTTATTCAATTTGAGGGGAAAGTCAGTAGTGGAAAAGTAGGAGAGGAGAAAGGAGAAATGACAATGTTCAGAAAGAAACGTACTACTGGGAAAGAGCGAGGGAAGTAGTGACATTGTCCAAAAAGAAATGTACTCATTACCTGACTTGTGTAACTGTCACCCCTCTGTATATCATCTTTGTAATAACAATTTACAAAGATTAAAAATAACCCTTTCACGTACAAAAATAGGAAATGTACTCATTAGCTGACGTGTCTCTATAACCCTTCTGTACATGACCTTTAAAAATTTAAAAACAGGTGAAAGTAAAAATATTTGATGCAAATATATTTATTTTTCCCAAATTTTAATTATCTTTAAGTAGTTTTATAAGAAAGTTGCTATTTTACCAAGCAGGTTATTAATACAATGTGTCATGATGAGTGTCACTCTTTTCAACATTCTTATCCATTTTTCCATTCCACATCCCTTCCCTTAATCTTTTTTTCTTAACAAGAGGTTTATTTTCTTTTTTCCTTTTCTTTTTGTCATCCACAGAAGCAGTTAATACACTGCATCTTGATCACCGTCTTCCCTTCCAATTTAACTCGCCTATTACTCCCAGCCCATCCTGCACTTATCTTAATTTTGTTATGCATTGAAGTTTTTGCAGCTTGATAAAAGAGTTTATGTGTACAATGAATCTTGCTTGTGACACCATTGCAACATTTTCACCCTCCTTGACTCCCCCTTCCCTTTTTATTTTGAAATTCTGGAGTACATACAATGAATTATCTACATCCTCCTCCTTCTCCTTTCGTTTTTCTATCCCTCTCCCCCCTTAGCCCTTCCCTCCCTTCATTTAGTGTGCTTTTTGTAGAATAACCAAAATCAGATTATGATTAAATGATAGTGTTGTATAATTTGATATAAATCTGAAGTTCATCCCACCATACAATTCTGAGCTTATGAAAACATTCTCAAAACTCTTTGAAGAAAGTTCATCTGTACAAAGTGTTTTGAATCAATCTACAATTCATAATTTTATCCCAAGTGAGAAAACATTGATTTCTTTTCTTAAGTGAAATACTGAACAAACAGAATTAGAGGCAGTCAGGGAGAGAAAATTAAAATCTTAAACCTCAAGTTGGTCAGCAAAATGTTGTGAGGTGTGGAGCAATTCATTTTGTCTCTGGAAATCCTTATAGAATATATTAATACGTAATCCATCAGGTACTGATGAAGAATAAAGGAAACCTTTCAGCAGTGTCTAGTTTCCCTAAGTGCAGAATAGTCATAAGTCCCTTCTAACACTGCACAGATGCAAGTAAGTAGGAAGCTAACTTGCCTGACTTGTCATACTTCAGTCCGTTTTTTTTTTTTGTCTTTTTGTAAACCCTGAACAAAGTTAGCTGTGTTTGGATACTAGTAGCCAGACCTAGGATCTGATATATCTAAAAAGTACGACTAAAATGTCAGAGTTTAGAACTTCTCCACCAGACTAGATTCTGTAGATCCCATAGCTGCATTCTTAGAGCTATAAAAATATCCAATAAGAAATATTAATCCTCACTAGACACTATGTTAGAAATGAGCTTTATAACTTGGGGAGAAAGGAGTTGGGAAGGAAATGAGGAAAGGGTAACACTACTCGAAAAGAAATATACTCAATACCTTATTTATATAACTTAACCCTTTGTATATCACCTTTACAACAAAATAATATTAAATTAAGAAAAAGAAATAATCAGAGCTTGCTTTGGGAGCAAATATAGTAAAAGTGGAATTATACAGAGAAGATTACCATGGTCCCTAAGTAAGAAATATTAAATTGATCAGAAGATTAAAATAAATATCAAAATACCAGAGATAAAAATCTAATAGTTTGGAAACATATAAATGGATTGAAAGATAGATTAATGATGGTGATGTGGACATAAAGCTAAAAGCTCTAAGATACTTAATAATCATTGAATTACTTTTGCAGGACTTAAGACTTAAATACAATAAAAGACATGTGAATGATGGACATGAAATAATTTTTCCTTTGGCCCTACAAATTTAAATGTATTTATGAAAAGTGGGTTCGTATTGAATCCATCATCAGAGATATCTCTACACAAAATAGTATCACAGAAAGTTAAACAGCGAAACAGTACCCATCCCACGAGTGTAAGTCAGGCAAGAGTGCCTTCATATTGTATACACATTGTATTTTTGTTTCTTCTCCATTGACATTTGTATGCTTTTTAATAAACCATTTCGCTTGGCATTGTCGTGAATAAAACTGCAAATATTGCTAACTTTCTTCCTGTTTCCTTACACAATGCGTAATTGTTCCTCCACTTCTACTTTTTCCTAATGTGGTTATGTGACTTTACCGTGGAGACATTGTGAAAGACTTACTGTAATTCAGGAGTCCCCAAGTGATATGCTCACTGGCACATAAGGTTTAACTGCTTAATGCTGCTTTAATCCATTCACGATGTTAAGTTTGAAACATCGAGATGCACCAATTATTACTTCAAGGAATTTAGGTTTTCAAACTTAATCTTGACATTTGATTTCACAGACTGTAATAAAAAATTAATTACGAAGCAGGTGCCAGTGGCTCCCACCTATAATCCCAGTCATTTGGGAAGCTCAGATGGAAGCATTGTGACTCTCTGAAAGCTTGTGCAGAAAACTCTCCAGACTTTGTCTTCACAGAGGGAGTCTGTTAGCCCAGCCCGTCACAGTCCAGGGGCAGCAGGTGGGTCGGAAATGACATCATATCCTCAAAATACCCATGCAAAGCAGCGTTGGGGTTGGGGTTCGGTGTAAAGCACAGGTTTAGTAAGCACAAGGCCTTAAGTGTAACTCCCAGCGCAACGACCCAAAAGGTTTTTTTCCTAATAAAAATAATAACAAATACTAAAGTGTCAGAAACCATACATCATGAAAAGCAAAGTAATTATTCCATGGAAGATTCGCCTGTTTTTAGCATATCTATGGATCATTATTCCACTTCTTGCATCTGTTGATGAAGGACAGACCCTGAGTTTTCAAATCATAGCAGAGAAATGAAAGATTGGGAATTGAAGTAATAAACACGTTATAGAAAGAACTAAAGGAGATTTTAGATATGCATACTTCGGACTAGTTATTTACTTTTGTGGTGCTGAGTGACTCTTAAAATCACTTTAAGGTAAGGTAGATGAATGGGGAAATATAATTACTGATGTTTGAACACTGACTTTTAGTAATATTTTGAGATGTATTTTTACACAAGAGTGTGATAATCACATTACAACTCCATCTATTCCTCCTCTTTTTAAATGTATATATATATATATATATATATATATATATATATATATATATATATATATATATATATATACACACACACACACACACACACATACTGCATTGTGATTTTTGGATATCATTGTTTCATTACTTGGCAAGTTACTGCCAATCACTAGACAATTGACCATAAGTATCATATGACTGCCTTTTATATTTGGGAACTAAGTTGATTTTAATTGAATGTAATGATGCAGAGAAGGTAGTCAATGGTATTAGAGTAAAATAATGTTATTCTTCAGTCCAGCACTTTTTTTTATTCCAGGCTTTTTATTCCCTCTCTTTATAATGTAAAACAACTAACAAACATTTTTCAAAAGCCATTCATGAAGGGTTTTCTGACACATTATAAGGGACTAAGCAAATATTGCATTTAACAGTAATTGTTTTTGCTATAATCATAACATGACATGTTCTTTCTTTCCTTATACTTATTTATTTTTTTGGTTTGAGACCAGAACTCAAACTTGTAAAGTCTGCACAGGGACACCTACTTACCTCTTGGCTAAATTTCTGCCCAGTATCTGTTATCTAGGTAACTGGCAGACCTTCCTGCTCGATCACAGCCTGGACTACCTCTGGTCATATGCCTCCCATCTAATCTTAGGAAGGTCGCAGACTGAGCAATGCCTCCCACACATACAAGATATTTTGTGATAGTATATGAAATCTAAAAAGATGAGAGATAAGGTAGCAGATTTGGAGGAGAGAATTGAAATATATCATAATTATTGGAATTTTCAATGTGTATATGTTTGCATTATGTATATCTTCACACAACCAAGCATATAAATATATCTATTCAAAAAATTTCTAATTAACCAAATTTTAGATGATCCTATGGAAATTCTGAAGACAGTACATTTCTTACTATATACCTTTGTTCTCATTTTATGATATCACAGTTTCCTTCAGGATGGGCATTTTATAAGCCCTCATGGATTAATATTATCACTCCTTGGAGACACATAAAATGATATTTCTTTCAAGTCTTACTTCTTTGGGCCAGGAGCCAAATGCTGTACTCCTTCATAATTTTCGTACATTGGGTTTTATTCTCCAAATGCTTATATAACTTAAACTGACCATGAAGGGTAATTCTCCAAATGAAAATAACATTACTGGCCAGAAGTTCTTTGGTATTTTCTCACAATGCTATGGTGATTTTTTAAATTTTTAAAGGTGGAAATGTATATATTATTTAGCTATAATATTTTTGTGATAATGGAGATGCCCTTTACCTTATGTAAACAATTAGAGATTAAATGAGTTGTTAGTTAAGTTTATTTCCTTTGTTCAGTAATCCTATAGTGAAACTTTTATTGAAATATAAAATTTGAATGTTATGATGGCTTTACTGAATTTCAAAGTCCAACTATTATCATTAAAAACCCAACTAAACTTCTATAAAGTAAACATTTTTAAAAAGGTGAACTTTATTTTGTGTTAATTATGTCTTACGTATATATACACTTCAAAAACGTGTACTCATTTAGAAACAAGTGAATTTAAAATATTCACAATTATGATGCTTTGTAAAAACGAACAAAATTAAACATAAATAAATTCCTTCAATTTATAGGATGGTTGGACATAAAGATTTTTTGATAGCTTTAAAAAAAGTGTCACTGCTGACATCACATTCTTTACACAAACAACAACGAATAAATAGATGCAGGTCTACATTCCTGCCCCCCCACCCCTGCCAATTACTATGTTTGGGAGATTATCCAGGTTGACAACACTGCTAAGTAGCAAGAGTCACATCCGCCATACACAATCTTTATGGACTGAATGCAGGTAAGCAGGATCATTCTCTTGATGCACTGAGTAATTTTTTCCTTCTTAATTTACTGGCTAAATTATTTTGTAAGCATATGAAATAAATAATATAATAATATAGTAATAAAATATATATCACATAATAATAATAAATAATAATATAGTAAAGATATACTATTAAGTATTTATTATAAAATGGCATTAGCACTGAATAATAAATTAATTTTTAAAGTTCACAGTTATATAGAATCCAAATTTAAGTTGAAAATGGACTAACCCACATTTCACAAAATATGAAATGTTTAAAAACGCTTATTTTCACTTAGAATAATAAATTCCTTCACTTGTACCACACTTAAAACTATTTGTTTTTATAGAAACATTTTCATTTGCCCTATATGTAATTGCATCTGTGAAGTCTACTAATCCTTTATTTTTTCTCAATTATCAAATTGCTTCAGATTTTCTGAAATGCCCTAATTACTTAATCAAGAGTTAACACATATAAAGACATGTTTTGCCTCCAATTCACACCATTAAATATTTCCTTTTAATTCTTCCTTTTTATTTGTTATAGAAACTATCAATTGAATAGCTTACTTGATCAAGAATGTGTGCATTTTTTTGTAATGAAACTCACAATAAATAAAGATTCTTAGTACCATTTCCAATTAATTTTTTTTCAATTTTTTTTTGCTACAGGCTTCCTAAACTTTTTGGATGAAATATTATTGTGTTGTACAAAATTCTCCTTAAACTTATTCCAAAACTTTCATGGCTTTCTTGTATCTGTGCATCTCCTCGTGCCTTGGTGATAAGGCACGCGATAGATACATTGGCTTCTCCAAGTCAGCTTTGTTATTTGTAGCTCCCTATGAGATGAAGAGAAAAAAACCTCAGGCCATCATCATAGTGATCTTTGTTTGCTAATTTGGAGGAGAACTTTTGAATTCTCTTTTTTTCTTCTGTTTTTGAAGAAGCAGAAATGACACAGAAAAAAATTTCAAATAGTAATTACACACTTTTATCACTACTATTGATCAATGCAATGAGTGTCTCAATCAGAATAGGGAGGAAAGTCAAGCAGGGAAGACAAAAGAATTAAGGATGGAAAAAGGAGAAAAAATTTGCCCCTGCTTACACAAAAGATTGTGACATACATAGACAATTCTAAAACCTTCATTACAAATGCTCTAGGATTCATAAATAAATTCATAAAAATATTCAAGAAACATCATCAACATGTAAATTTAGTATCATTTCATTTGGTCAATAATGAAGAAAACAATCTCATGAATAAGAAAACCAAGGGGTGAAACTTGTTGAATGAAAAATATGAATCTTTGAAGAAAGAAACTAATGTTGACACAGAAAGAATTTTCATGTCCATGAATTGGAATAACTATTCTTAACTTGGCCATACTCCCCAAAACAATGTACAGAGAGAATATATCACTTGTCCAAATGCCAATGGCATACTTCATTCAAAAAAAGCAAATTCTTTTAAAATATAGCACGCAAAGATGCCAAATTCTCAACACAGTTTTGAAAAGAACAAAACCATAAATATCACCTTATCCAACTTTAAAATATACCATAGTATAAGAAAGTCATGATACTACCATTAAAAAAATGGACACTGGGAAAATGGTTTTTTTTCTTTCTTGCTACTGTTTCTAGCATGTTTATAAGATGATTTCTTTGTTGCTTTGTATGTTCCTCCCCC